AAGCAGTGGTATCAACGCAGAGTACTACACCCGTGAAAAGTTGTGTAGTGAATCAGCGTGCGCGAAAACCCTAATACACGATTTTTCAGATTTTTTGAAAAATATTTTGTTAAATGACATATTTCATATTGGTTTCACATGCTGGAAATTCATACCGTAATCCCACAGTAACGAAAGGCGATCAGTGATTCGCTTCATACTGTAAATCCAAGGAAGCCTCCTCTACAGAATGCTACTTGAATGGCGAAAAAAATCTTAATGGGAAGAGAGTTATTAATGATTAGAAAGTGTGTACTTGCTTTTGGGACACCCTGTATAATACATTAGAGAGAAATTATTTTGGAAAAGCTGCAAACTCTGTGAATAACCCAGTATGTACCTCTATTCTTTCTACTTTGGTTGTTACTCTTAATTCACTGGATCTTTTTCTTTCACTAGATTTAGCCATTAGTTATAAAATTCAGATAGGCTTATACGTTTATGCAGAACTTTCGTAACAAAGTATCTAATAGGTCTGATCAATACGACCATGGCTTAATAAATCCTATGTATAGGTCATTCGCAAAATCGTGGAGACGGTTTTGACTGCGGGTTCTGAGCCGACAGTAGCAGAAAACACTCAAACAAAAAGGCATTACCTCAATTCTCAACTCATTGTCAGTCACTTCCAGTATTTAAATGTATCATATGTAATGTATCTAATGTATCATAAGCAGGAAAATCACTTGAGTAGAGAAGAAATTAAGAAAACAGCGTTGCCGGGTATGCGTACTTGTCGCGCGCGGTCGCACCATCGTCACGATTTTTCGAATGTCCTAGTGCTTGAAGATCTCATTTACCCTATAGCATTATCTCTTTCCAGCAATTATGACGCAGAAAAAGGAAAGCAGAGAGTAAAAGCAGATACTTTCAAAAAAAAAAGAAGCCACAAATGACTCAAGCAACTACGGGACATCTTATATCTTCCCTGCACTTTGTCCTTTCCGTTCCAAAAGTTGCGATGGCTTTGAAATCTTACTTCGTAATTTATGAGAGGTGCAGATGGCTACAAAGCACTTTGCTTGGAACTGCAACCAGGTCTCACTTAATGAAGTGGTTCTTAAGTGTGAAAAAGATGACAAAAACGAATAATCGAAAGAGCGCTGTTCAAAGTTTATGAGTGGAGAGATGGCACAGATCGCTATGTCGCAATTTTATCTGGATCATCTTTGCAACGTGTGCGTATGACATCAAATGGCCTTTTCAAAATGGTCATAAAAACTGAATCATCTAAAGCAAAACAATTTTATTTCGAAAACATATTCTGAACATAGTCCAAAGCTCGTGAATCGGCGGATTCTGTCAAGAAAATGAGAATCTGCAAATTTTTATCTTGAAATTTTCTACAACAAAAGAATTTCCTCATTGTTTATTACTTGAGCATAGCTAAAAGTTCAGCTGGAATTTTTGCAGCCACAAAATTTTTATTTAAATTCTAATCCTACCCTGATACACTTCCATTCGATTTTTGATCAGCATGGTGGGCTTATGGGATCACACTTCACGTTTTTGATGGCAGGTCAACTCAAGTCTTGTAAACTTTTGATTTCATAATTTTTTTAGTCAACGGAAACACTTGATTTGATACATTGAGATTAGATTACTTGGTTCCAGAAGTGGAAAAATCATTTTTGCTGCCATCTAGCAACGACACAAGGAAAAATATTTTGAAAAATGGCTAAAAATTTCAGTCGCCGAAGTATGAACGTCTACAAAATATTCTTATTTCTGCTTTTGGTTCTTTGACCTGCTTTTTCTATCCAACCATGTAAAATTCAAGGCAAAACGATATAGTCAGTAATTTCTTGATAAATAAACATGTTGAAAAATAGTCATTTTTGAATGTGTCAACATACAACATGTGTCAACATTCTTGATGAATCTATAGGGCATTCGAAAAATCGTGACAATGGCGCGACCGCGCGCGCCAAGCACCACTTCCAGCAATCGCATTTTCTTTCTATCTCTACTCGAAGGGTTTCCTGCTTACTTAGATAATATCCAAACCCAGGAAGTGACCGAGCTGGGCATTTAGATGATGCCTGTTTGTACGGGCATATGGTCCTGTGCGCGCAAAGATCGCATTCAAACTTGTCGTCACGATTTTAAGAATGCCCTATACTTTATAAGCCCGACATTTCACTTGACTCGTTTTTTCAAATGTCTTGTATATACCATGCAGCGTATTTGCACATCGGAAGTAGACATATTTGAGTAGTCATTGTCAAGTTTTTATTCAGCACTAGGTGGCAAATCCGGCTCCGCTCTGCCCTGTCAATAATATTTATATTGTAACTAGCATGCTCACATACACACCTGTGCCAACTTCCGGTCTCATAGCTCAAAATGCAATTCGAGAGAATCGATATCGATCGATAACGGAGAGTTGCCCACGAAGTGTATGTGTGCAAAGTTGAGTCCGGCTCGGTTCAGAAATTAAAATTTCCATTCAGAACATATTAAATTGTTGCAAAAGTTCTGTCGTTTCATTTTCAAAAATTTGTAACTCCGCGAAATTTCAACGGATTTGCTTGCTTGTAATTTTATTAGAAAGAATAAGTCTTTCGCTTTCAAATACTGTTCTGTGGATCTTCTGTTTCGTACTGGGTGCGGAGATAAAAATGGAAAACTAAGACCATATAAGCTTTGACCATTTTAAGTTAGGTCACCAAACATCTGGAATGCTGCAGAAAAATCTGAAATCCTCAGTACATATGTTTTTCGGCCTACCCTTTGCATCTGTAAAAAGTTTGTGCTGTTTGGACGTCTCTGTGAGAAGTTATGATTTTCGCGAAAATTGACAAATTAATTAATTTTGGCGTTTTCCATAGTAAACTCGATATTCATAATTTCTCACAGAGACGTCCAAACAGCGCAAACTTTTCAAAGATGCAAAGGGTAGGCCAAAAAACATATGTACTGAGGATTTCAGATTTTTCTGCAGCATTCCAGATTTTTGGTGACCTAACTTAAAATGGTCAAAGCTTATATGGTCTTAGTTTTCCATTTTTATCTCCGCACCCAGTACGAAACAGAAGCTCTACAGAACAGTATTTGAAAGCGAAAGACTTATTCTTTCTAATAAAATTACAAGCAAGCAAATCCGTTAATTTCGCGGAGTTACAAATTTTTGAAAATGAAACGACAGAACTTTTGCAACAACCTAATATATACAGACATATTAGGCTGTCTCATAACTTTTTACCATTTCTAACCTAAACATCAGCATTTCTCGAGAACTGGGGCACCTACAAAAAATCCAAATACATGTTCGTACTTCCATATGTATGAGCTATATGAACACATGCGTGGGAAGAGCTAAGGACGTCTAAGGGCAGAGTTTGCCATTTTGTCTCATTCATTTTTTTCTTTTTTTCTAGCCATGGAAACAGTTCGGAAAGTGTGCAGTCGAACGCGCGATGTGTCAAGCATATGTCAGAATAAAGGGGAATTTTTTAGATACTTTGGAGCGGAGATACGACTTTTTTCCGAAAAGTTCGTTTTTGACTGCTATCAGATTTGAGCTCAGAATTTCACGTGAAATACGATTTGAGCAGACTCTTGATAGCCATCTTGTAGAGCTTGCTTTGCTCTGTCGAATGATTATTCAAGCACACCAGATGAAGGAAAGGTATGAAAAAACGGCGGTTGCAGTAAAAACGGTAAAAAATTATGAGACAACCTAATACATTACAAAAGAGACATACATACAAATAGACATTGTTTCAAATTCTTCGATATTTATGCTACACAACATGCAGCAACAACATATTTCAAAAGAAGTACATAATGGTCTCTAGAAAATACTCAAAAATTCTAAACGTTCTAAGAGTTTGTCATATTTTTTGCAAGACTTATATGTCTATAATGAATATTCAACTTTTCCAAGGAATAACGTTGCTCACCTAACACCGTTGCTGTATCCAGCGCAACTCATCATGATTGTTATGCACACAGATGCTGACCATATCAACAGAGATACGAATAAAGCGGTAAATGTAGAATAATTTTTAGAAGGCAATGACCATCTGAAGTGATTCTTGGCGGCCACAAGATGATGAATATGTAGCTGTTAAATGCTGTCTCCTAAGCAACTGAATGCAAATTTATCAAAAGTTCACAAACTTCAGGAGAAAAGAGAAGCTCAGGGGAATTTCCGCCAACCCAATATTCGTTTGGTCCATTCGAATGAAGCTCAAGAAGGGAGTGATTTGAAGAACCTTGCTTTACTCAGTAAAAGTAGTATGAATTAGAATGTTGTCGTAGCGCGTTCTCTTTGCTATTAGATGAATCAAAACATTTTGTTTCATAAAACAGTTAGCCCTAAAATGTTCAACGGGAAGGCGCACGGAACTAGACAGGGCTATAAAGAGAGTATTGGAAAAAATTATCAGCGCTTTATCGTAACAATAAATAGTGAGCTTACGTCAAATGGTTCATAAGAAAAAGTCATCAACTTCCGTATTTTTCAAATAAAAATCTTAAAATTGTGCATCATAAAGAATGAAATTTTGATGGACCTCAACATTGATTATTGATACGAGCTTACACATCATCACCCCCCATTTATGTATCTGACGCATTATTGAGATGAATGCATTTTGAAAAACCAAACTCTAAAATCAAACTCGAATTTCAATCTTAAGCTTGAACCTATACGGTCTGAAAAAGGTCTGAAAAAAGTATAGACTATAGCATTGGAAAACTTGATGATAACGTGATTTAAACATCAAAATTTTTTTTGCGCTTAGTACTTTTCAAAGTATCATCCTTCTTTGTGTTAGCTCTTCTGCTTGAAAGATAAAAAGCTTTCTCTGCGATTTATTGTAGGAGGTGCCATTTGCGATATTTTGGTATACTGTTTATATGCGACAAATATTGTGCTTTATTTCGTACACTTTCTGCTTGGCAGATTCCGTAATTACACTCATTGACATCTTCTGTACAACAAATCTGTTAATATTTGCAAAACGTAGTCTATTCAAAGGCATTGTCTTCTGTAGAAGATAGCAGAGCTATTGAGGCACTTGAAATGCTGAGAGAGTAATTTCGTGTTAGTTGCCACAGTGTTGATCCTGAAAATTGTCAATATGGGACTGAAGAGCGCTGCTTTACAAATTATTCTCTTAATGCCGTTCGTATTTCGTTGAAAATCCATTGCCAAGATTCTCACCCATTAAAATCAAACTTCTGATATAACTACCTACTGGAAGCTCCCACTGATAGTGAGCGAGTGTACAGGCAGACCTGGGCAAAAATGACTCTGTTCACTTTAACACTACGTTCGCGCTGGGACCCATCCTAAGTCACTCGAAAGTTATGGTTACGGTGCAGGCGCGGAGATTTTGGGGACGGTTTTCTTAACCGTGAATAAATTATTTACGCTGCGGCTTGGTGCCTTACTCAGGATCCCCCTATCAGCTTCCAGGCAAGAAACCCATATGCCCAGATTTGTCTGGACACTGACTTTAAGCTGGCATTATTCTGCATCTTTTCCGACTGAATGTTCAAACCTGAAAAGGCGTTCAAGCCGAAACATCAGTTGAAATTATAGTTCAGCTCACAAGAACTCAATCAGAAGGCGATGAAATTTTACCCAAAATCTTTCTAACTTTGGCATACGATCACTCACATTGCCTCGTAGGGTGAGCCAGGCTGGGCACCGTCTCTATTGCAGAACATCTAAATCGCATAGATATTTTGAAGTTCGATCATCAACGAGGAAACTTACCGTTCCGAATGTCATCATCATATTTTGTACGTCATCAAAATTATCAAATCCTGGAAGCTTTTGCTCTCGTGTAGTAGTGTTCCCATTCAATGCGATGTAGCTGTAGGATGTTGTGTCCAATGCATCGGAAAGTTCGATGGTTCTTAAGGTTTCGTCCTGAAACACCATATACAATATCCATTTTTCGCCTTATTAACATTTTTGAACTGACTTCGAAATCTGCATTATTTCGGTAGAGTGTGGACAGATATCCGCGAAAGATATTTTCCAAACATTGCTTCTGAGATCCTCTCTCTACTCGGGGCCAAAATAGCTATAAAGAATACCGATAAAGTTGTCTTACAAATTTCTGGTCAACGAACTCGAACAAACCTTTGCCAGGAAGTGGTTGACACTTACTCCTAAGCTACCATATATGGAGTATTTTGGAGCATCATTTTTGGGATATGATATGGGAGCTTGCAGAAAGGCCAATGGAACCACTGAAGATATGAGACTATAAATCCCACCTTAGCACTTTTTCTTGTCATACTTTTGTTTTTGAGAATATTTTTATAAATGAAATTTCATCGAAATTTTTGAAGAACTTTTTTCAAAGGAGCGCACCCTTCAACATTGATTAGAGAAATTTGCTCATCCCGTGACATGTCATGAATTCTAGAGCCAAAAGGGAGCGCAGTTCGGTACTTTTCAAGTGCTTTATTTTTTGAAGCGAGTGGTTTGAACCGAGTATCCTGTAAATATGTCGAACTACACAGCAGATTGATATTCAAAAGCATAACATGAACAACTGCCTGACTACTGTCAAACTTTACCTACTTCCACTCCGACTTCAGGATACAAATATGTTTGGCTCAGATCTAATTCCATGAAGAACCATTCTAAGCTTACTACTTTCGTTCTCTTCCATGCTTACTGGCGGGTTATTACCTTCCTAGACAAAACACTAATAGCAGATGAAACGGTGGCGGAGGGGGGGGGGGGAGGGGGGGGTGGAAGCCCAGGGTACTGACGCCATAAAGAAGACTAACGGAAGCCGGCTGCAAAGAAGTTCGTCTCTGATTAGCGATTACAATGAGTTCTCACAGAAGACGCTTATATTCATGTTTTGAGTGTTTAGTTTTCAAAGCATATGGACGTCGCTTTCGCTTACAAAAGTTGGAAGCGCTTCATCAATACCTTTTGAGAGCAGCTTGCTTTGGGGCTAGCGCGTTGTCATACTCCACAAAGCTGCTCAACAGCTGTGCTGTAATTCATAAAAAGTCGTAAATAACTATCAAATTTGATAAGGCTAGCGCGCTTGCTCTGCTGATGTATAATATCAAAAATAGCATCAGTTTAGCTGATTGTACAAAGGTTTTGGTCCCCCCTGCACTTCAACTCAATCCAGAAAACTCTGACCAACCCATAATTGAAAGCTGCGGGTTGAATTGAAGAGTTGGAACAAGTACATCGAATGTTGTACTGTCATCAGCATCCAAGTATGTTCCCACTTGTGACAAACGATATGTAGATTGTTGCTTGAGCAGTCGAGTTATTGTGCCAAAATAGTCATTCGGGTCAGCTACCATCTGGAGAGAAGATGAGAGGATAGTTTAGCTCAGGAAGTAGATCAAGATGAAGAGACCTTACCGTAGCAAGCGGCTTCCATATAACAAAAAGCCTAAACAATAAAATATCTTTTCACGTTCCCTATTTTTGCAAGAAGGGAAGTAAACACGCCTGAGGAGTTATGAGCGGGCTAAGGTCTGCTTCTGCTGCTATAGGCGTTTACTGTGAGGGGTTCGGGCCAGCCATATAGCCATGCAGGGCATATAGCGGCTTTTCCGGGTTCAAATAGTGGGCAATCCTCAAGCATCAGATCGGGTCCACTACTGGCGCGTAGTGGACACTTTAGTAGTACGCAACGGGCACTTATAAATGCGTCGGTGGTCGCTTACCGGTTTCAAGATGTGTTTAGCGGGCAGCTCACGGCATGGATGATTGGTGGTCAGGTAAGCAACCGCGAACTTCCCGATGCAATCGTCTGACAATGAGTAGGAGCAGACCTCAATGGACACGTGATAGAAAACCGAAAGGGAAGGCAAGGAAACGTATATAATATGCAATGGTGTGATACTAGAATTTGCCTTAGCTGGTAAATCCAGCATTGGCAATATCTTCTTCGTCAAGAAAAATGCTCATCTCATCACCTATATAGTGGCTGTCGACGGAAGCAGGTAGGAGCAAAGCATCGTAATTCAAAAGCTTTACTGCGAAGTCATTCTCGGTTAAAACTGCATTCCGCAGTAGGCGCATATAAATGCAGACACTAGGAGTGGTATGTATTATCGGGTCCGAATCGAATAGGAATTCGATCATTTGAATAAAACATTCAAATATATACGCATTCGAAATTCGATATTCGGAGTATGTCCATTTTCGAATGATATTCGAGACTCGAATAATTGAGAAAACGGAGTTTCGAATAAAATTCGAAACTCGAATAATCAAAACGAGGGTTCCACTGAAATCCGAGATCTCGAACAATCAAAAAACGGGATTTCTAAAATTTGAAATCTCGAATAATAAAAAAGGGGGTTTCGAACAGATTTTATTCGAATGTTTCATTCGAATGTTTATTCGAATTCGTATTCGAATGAACTCCATACTCAGATTATTTGGGTTTGTTGCAGAGCCTGCTGAGTATCAAGTTCGCATTGTCTGCGTTTTTTGTCCACAAAACTTGGTAATGCATCTTTTTCCTGATAAACTTCGAACGGTATGGGAAGTTGCATTTTTCCGACTGCTTGCGAGAGCAAAAAAAGTAAGTGTATTTTGATTATGCATTTTCGATCAATAGAATAGTTCGCATTGCTATTGGCACCAAATCAGCTAAAGAAGGCTATCAAATTCAAGCTCATGTTCCAAGTTCATATACTGTTTTGACACGCCTGTTTCTCTTTCTTTGCATTGCTCATGCTTTTGGTACGCAAAGATCCACACTAGTGAGCAATCCTTGTAAAACTCATGCTGTACAAATGTCTGGCGTGGCTGGCTCCACGCCCTTTTTTTGAGATTTTGGGGTGGGGGGACCGCAAAAATCTTGGAAAGCATACCAAATTTTTTGGAACACCTTCACCACAAAATTTTTTTGCCGCCCTCCCCCCTCTCCGAGCGGAAATCATGGGTACGCCACTGATAATACATGATAGTTCTGTTATCACAGTGCATCCAAGATCTTCACGGAGGCTTGCAGGCACTTCAACGCCGGGAGCTATCAGCCTATCAACTATGGTAGGCTAAAGCTGGACGGAAAAGGTCCACATTGAGAAATGCGAGCTTTGATTATGACCGGCCCCGCATATACTTCACGCGATAGTCGTACGCGATTTGCCAGTTACTAGATGCTAGCTACGGGATGGGAGTTGGTGCAGGGGGTTATTCTGGTCAATTTTATTGATTTTTGGAAAATGTTGAGCTACGAGACTGGGAGTTGGTACAGGGGGTAAATGAGAGTGCTGATTATGAATAAACGTTTACTTTGTTGCCTTTTCGATTTCTGGAAAATCTTGAGCTACGAGGACGGGAGTTGGTACAGGGGTAAATGACGGTACTGATTAAAAATAAAATCTATTCTATCGATTTCATCGAATTTCGGAAAATCTTGAGTTAGGAGCTGGTATAGGGGAAATGAGGCTGCTGATTATGAATGGATCGGCTTTAGCCGAGTAGGTCAGCAAGTTTTAGATCTGGTTGCTCTATTTAATCAATAAATTATTCGAATATTTATTCGAAATTCGACTTTCAGTGTTCAAATATAATCGATATTCATTCGTTCGATATTAATGATTTTCCGATTTCATTCGGGGTTCATTCATTCGAGAATTTTTGAATTTCGAATTTATTCGATATTCGTTCATTAGAGATTTTTTATTCTCAAATATATTCGATACTAGCTGGCTTACCCGGCTCCGCCGTATGTTCCGAATAGAAAATTCCATTTCTTAACCGATCCGGACCAAACTTGGCACACATACCCTTCGGGCCCCGGCGGGTGTCACAGTCCACTTTTCGTTATCGATCGATGTCGATTTTATCGATTTTTTGCAAAATTTGAGCTAGGGGGTTGGAATTTGGCACAGGGGTGTAATCGAGCATGCTGATCATCCCCGCGGGGGTGATCAGCATGCTCGATTACCCCCCTGTGCCAAATCCCAGCCCCGTAGCTCAAACTTTGCAAAAAAATCGATAAAATCGATAAAAGTAATGCACGATTCAAAAAACTAATATTGTATTCGGAATCCCCATGCTCACTTACCCCCCTGTGCCAACTCCCAGCCCCCTAGCTCAAATTTTGCAAAAAATCGATAAAATCGATATCGATCGATACGAAAAGTAGCCTATGACACCCGCCGGGGCCCGAAGTGTATGTGTGCCAAGTTTGGTCCCGATCGGTTCAGAAATGGAATTTTCTATTCGGAACATACGTACACACAGACAGACATACAGACAGACAGACAGACAGACAGACATACATACAAACAGACATTCAGCTTTATATATAAGATTCGTTTATTCGAAAATCATTTTCGAATTTATTCGATATTCATTCATTCGATGAAAAATTTTGAATTTACCCATGTACAGTCTGTATCAATCTCCTGTTCCGGTAAGTGTTCCCGTACTGGTCGTAATTCAGTCAAACGCGGCCAGCCATGCTTTACGAGTAAGATTTGATACTTGTAATGTCGCAAGAGGTTCATTTGATAAAAGATTTGATGTCGTTCATCTTGAGATTCACGATAGAACTAAAGCTTAGAGGAGGAGGGGGGGGGGGATGGGCGATGGATTCCCTCCAACATTGCAGTTGGCTACCTGAGCCGATCAGCCATTTGCCGCCAAAAGGGGTAGAATTACAGTCTCCTGCAGCCAGCCATCGCTGTTCATGGCGGGAGTCTCTCGCTCATCCCCTCCAGCTATCTTCAATGTTGGAAGACGCCGTAAAAAGCACGTTTTTGACTTTTCAAGCACAGTCAGGACTTTGCACATCCAGAAGGCCATGTAGCTGTGGAAAGCTTGCAGTCGCAAATTTCCCAAGGCACTGCCTTTAAGAAACATGGTGCCAGAACGACGAAGTACAAAGCGAAATAAAGCACGAGGGTGATGTATACAAGCTAGAGCATAGGTAGCTAGAGGAAGAATGCAAGACGTACCAGCTAGACAAGGGTGCTACAAAGGTGTTTGTAGAAAAAGCGATACAGGCGAACGTAACAGAGTACTACGATAAACTGGAAATTCCATAAAGGAGGGAGGGACATATGATGAACAGTAAAAAGGAGAGCACAATTTGCAGGAGTATGAAACACTTCCTCCAAATCAGGGAACTTGGTAGGCTTGTATAGATAGCGTCACTGCACTGTTCCTTCATTGTGACACCTAACTTTCACCATGGCATCCGCATCTCAAGTACGCCCTAATAACTTTTCTCCAACAGTCTAGAAGATGCAGGAAACAGATTGCGATGGTGGGATCACGTTCGCCGAAGAGAAAATAGTCATTCTTTGGCTAGCCGTGGCGAGAAATGCCAAGTAAGAGGCCAAGAGGTAGGCCGAACTGCAGTAGATGGGAAATCACATATGTGAGAACCTGGAATGTTTGAAGGTTTTGCCTCAGCCAGGAAATTCTAGCCACAACTATCAGAAGGGAAGACTTCGCATAAGCGAGATTATGCTGAGACAAATAAATTGTGGGGTTGCAAGCCCAACCTCGGTAACTATTTCCCACTTCTCACAAATGCGATTGCAGGATGAGCTTTACCTGCTGCTCTCACTCATCATGTCGATTATACTCGGAATTAGCTAGTGGGAATTCCGAAACGAAACCAACCCGACCTCGCAAGATAACGAGATACCTTCGCGGAACTCGAGAAAGTGTTCAAAACTTTTGCAGAATGCTTTTATCAATTCTTATAATATCATCCATGTGACACGGTGTACAATGTGTGCTGACAAAAATGCAGATACACCTTCAATGGTTTTATACATTGAAAGTATTAACCTTTCGTCAATCATGTGCTTTTGAGCATCGGTCGGGCACAGTCGCAACATAAAACATAATTATTTTCTGCATATCAGTATGTCGATTTGTCAGAAATGTCCTAAAGCACTCTACTGCTTAGTCACAGCTTCCGATGCTCGTTGAAATTTTCATAACTCTTTCTTGAAAAACAATCACCCCATATAGGGTGTCCCAAAAAGATGTGCACACCGTTTAATTGTCAATAACTCTCTTGCTTTCATGTTTTTTGCCGAGCTTGAGGTACCACTCTTTAGAGCTAGGTTTATCTTAGATTCACAGTATGGAGAGACTTATCACAAGCTCTTCATTACTGTAGGATTACGGTAGGAATTTCGAGGAGGATTTTGAGTCATTGAAAGCGGTATTTTGCTTCAGAAAAAAACCAAACAAGCCAGAAACTCTTGAACTGGGTTAATTGAAGTTGATGATTCTAAATTGAAAACTGCACGTCAATACACTGTTTCTTTCATGAGTTATTTCAGATTTAGGGTGACAACTGATTTTCCAATGA